AATTAAAAGTTATAGTAGAAAATCAAGGATACAATTAAGGAGTTAGATGTGCTGGTAAATATGTGAACCCAGCTGCCTGAGAGGTTAAAGGTAGAAGGATTGCAAGTTTAAGGACAGCCTGAGCAATTTAGTAAACTCCTGCCATCAAAAAAAATTAATTAAATTTTAAAAAGAACAGGGCTGGGGTTTAGCTTAGTGGCACAAGCACCTGCCTGGCATGCTCAAGGTCATGAGTTCAATCCCCAATACTATAAGAAAAAAAGGGAAGAAGAAAAAGAGGAGGAGGATGAGGAAGAGGAAGAAGAAGTAATCCAGTATCACTTTAGGGACTGAGGATTTAGCTCAGTGGCATAAGCTCTTGCCTGGCAAGCGCGAGTTTGATCTGCAGTACCAAAAAATAAAAAATAAAAAAAGAACATTCTTGGTTATACTAACAACATTTCAAATATGTAGTAGCCAAATATAGGCTCCCTCCTAGACAGAGTGAATACGGGATATTTCCATTATTGTGGAAAGTTATCAGACAGCACTATTTGCATCGGTGCCAAAATCCTAGTCCTGACTTTTCACTTACATGAACTAATAAATCTTTTTATGTCTGCCAATTAAAGTTGGAATTATTAAAAAAAAAACCCCAGAGAATCCCAAGGCAGCCTCCCAGTGAGCACTCAAGACCAGAAACGACCCCTCTGTCACAGAGCAGAGTATCGCTTGGGCCAAGCAAAAGCAGAGTAACCCCAGCACTCTGCGGAGTTGAGGAGGATCAAAAGTTCAAGCTCAGCCTGGGTAATTTAGCAAGTTAGGGAGACCCCGCCACAGAAAGAAAAAAGTGTGTGTATGTAGGGAAGATACAGCTCAGTGCGCAGGTCCTGGGTTCAATCCTCAGTACCGGGGAAAAATCAAAGACATGAAACTAAATGTGATGCCTCCTTCTGGACGGGTCCTGGAGGGGAGAAACATTTTCTGAAAAGACCTTCACAGGACCAATGGGTCAGATTCTACTATGGCTTGATACAAGCCATGTATGTAGCCATGATGTAGTACTGCATCAGTGTTACATTTTTTGAGTTTGATCACTGAATTATTGTACAAGAAATACATAAATATATGTCCTTGTTCTTGGGAAATATATGCTTACATCCACAGTGGGTGAAGGAACAGGGCCTATGTAACTCATTCTCAGATTTTTCAGGAAATAACAAATATACAAGAACAGATAAGCAGGTTTGGGTGTAATCTAGGTGAAGGGTTTAACCTGCACTTTTAATGCAGCTCATTTCAAGGTTTGAAAAATTATCTCAAGCCAGGAATGGTGGTACAAAAATGAGTGTATTTCTTTTTTTTTTTTTTTTTTACTGGTACCGGGAATCGAACTCACGACTGCCTGCTTGCAAGGCAGGCGCTTATGCTGCTGAGCTAAATCCCCAGCCCAAAAATGAGTGTATTTCAATCTATGTGTACTGCAGTTGTTTACAAGAGACTTTTTTTAAAAAATGAAATGGAAGTTTGCCTAGCATGCACAAGGCCCTGGATTCAATCAAAAATAAAATAAATTTAAAAAGCTAGAAAAAGAAAAAGCAATTTTCACATCATAGTTTCACTTTTTAACCTCAGTTATACACACACACACACACACATGTGTTTGTTGTCAGTGCATTTCTTATGCGGGTTATAGGTTTGTCATTTTTTTATAGTTTTGAGAGCTATCTTACTGCTTCAACCCATGCATCTCTTGTGGTTCTTGGGGTGAAGGATGCGAGGATGAGAAGATAAAGAGACAAAGCTGGGGTCAGGGGGAGCCCTTATCCTCCTGATGGGAGGAAAGGAACTGCTCAGCCACTGTAGCCCCTTTACTTACACCCTCCAAAGAAGGTCAATTCCAACCCCACTGCCCAGCAACCCGTTTGCCTGGCTGGCCTGGGCCCTTGCTTGCTGGTGCTGGAACAGCCTGTTTGCCTGGCTTGTTCTGAGCTGTTTTCAGGGCTGGTCATGCTTTAGCCTCACATGTGTGATCAATCTCCAGCTTCAACCAACGGCTTCCTACATCTTCCTGCAAGTTGCAGGCTCCGAGCCAGTTGAGCTAGTTGTTCTTGTATAATTAACAAACCCATTTTCTCCCAGTGTGTCTCAACTTGGTATCGCACTGGCCCAGCACGCTGGACACCTAAGACAGGAGTGAGCCTATGGCACGCATGCCGTAGCAGGTACACAGAACCCTCTCTGTCTTTGCAAGCCAAGTTGTCTCAAGCAGCTGAGCACTGGGTGACAGTTGTTTCTTTCTAAACTAAAAGTGTTCAGGTTTAATTGCAGTGTTGGTACTTTGCAATAACTAAGTGGGTGAGCACTCAGTCTCTAAAAGGTTCCCCAGCAACATCAAAAAAAAAGTTTATTAGAAAGTGTCCCAATTTGGATTATAAATGAGAACTGCTACTTTAAATGATTGCTTTTTGTAACAAAATAAAGTATGAGTAAGTATGCATGGGTGCCACGAAGACTTTAGCCTTTTCTGCAGTTTTTTTAATAAGGACATCTAAGTATTTAGAGATTGAAAATTACTATTCCTTCATATTTTTTGAGACAGGGTTTCATTACATTGTTCAGGTTGGTCTTGAGCTCACCATGTAGCAAAGGCTGGCCTTGAACTTGCAATGATCCTCCTGTCTCAGCCTCCAAGTGCCAGGATTACAGGAGGGCATCATCATGCCTGGTGAAAAGTATTTTAAAGTCACCTTTACTTGTTAATGCTGTATTAAAGACCTTTGTTATCCATCCCTTGGGATTATAACAAACTGGATAATAAGCATAGTAAATTTTCTTGCAAATACTTTTAGAACAAATCCCATTCTTCTGGGAATAAATCCCATTCCCAGAAGACGGCTTTTATAAATAGGAAAACAACTGACTTGAGCATGTTTTTTTTAACAAAAGTATGTATGTATACATATATATATTCTCCATTCATTCAGTGGAGGGTGGTACATGTCTGTAATCCAGCCACTAAGGAGGCTGAGGCAAGACAAGAATTCAAAACCAGCCTGGAGAATTTAGTATGATCTTGTCTCAAAATAAAATTAAGGGAAAAAAAAATGCTGGGGACCTAGCCCAGTACTCCCTGGTTTCGATACAAATACCTAGTATTGCCAAAAAATTAGAAATTAAAAAAATACAACTCCACTAGATTTTAGTACTAACTTATAAAATATACACCAAACATTATCAATAAGGATAAACAGAGGCCAGCCTGAACTACACAATGAGAATGTCTCAAAAATAAAACCCTGAAACAAACAAATACTCCAAAACCAAAAAATTTATTTATCTAAAGCCAGGAGTGGTAATGCATATCCATAATCCTGGCACTTAGGAAGTTGAGACAGGTTAATCACAAAGAGTTCAAAGCCAGCCTAAACTATAAAATGAGACCCTGTCTCAAAAAGAACAAGCCAACCAACCAACCTATCTAAATCTAGTTTTCAGGGAAAAATTTGGCAGGCTATACTAAAAATTTAAATTGCTAAATGTAACAAATTTCGTCAATTTACCTTCCAAGTGCCGGACAACCACCCACCAGACATTTGAACACCTCTGTCCTTCCTGTAGACAAGGAGTTAATTTTGGTCCTAAAGTCTCTCTGACAACATTTCACAGCACATAAATGGAGTTGAGTTGAGGAAAAACAACTGTTTTTCCTCCAGGCAGATAAAAGCCACCATTATCAAGTGAGAGGCTGTCACAGGGCCACAGCAAAGACTAGGAATGTCTTAAGTCTCTCTTCCGGAGGTGGGCAGGAGTCACACAGGGGTTCCGTGCATCGCTGCTCAACACTGCAGCATCTCAAGGCACAGCCAGAACTGAGGGCCTTATTTTCCTTTGTAACTTTAGTTTTTCCTAAAAACCAAATGTATCCGATTCTGGCTAGGGAGTGCAGCTGGGTGCAGAGGCTGCCTAGTGTACCAGAATCCTGGGCTGGGAATCAGGTTCTTATCCAGAACTGCAAAGCAGGCAGCTTCAGGTATGTAAATTCTTTTCAGCTTCGGGTATTTAACACGCAAACAGCATTGATCGTATTTTGAGTGTGAGACGCTGTCCCCACACCATTGTGGGGACCCTGAAGCCCAGAAATAAACACCAGGTACTGATTGGAACCCAGTCGACACAGTGGAGACTTTTATACCTATGATCCTTACACTTGGCATTTTCAGTGATTTTAAATGGGGGCAGGGAGGTGTGTGTGTAAAGATCAGCCTGGGAACTGCTTGGGGAAGGGGTTATGTAGCAATGGACTAGGTCCATGACAAGAGTGATTAATTCTGGATTAGAAACAGTTTAGGAAGAATGCTGCTTTTCTCTCAGGACTCCTAAAGTTTTCAGTATAAACTGAACTCGATCCATATAGATTTTTTTTTATGGGTACCAGGGATCAAACTCACGACCACATGCTTGCAAAGCAGGTGTTTATGCCGCTGAGCTAAATCGCCAGCCCCAATCCATATAGATTCTATTATGTAGGGTGACACTAAGTATGAAGTGACTTGAACTTCAGATGATGAAACTGTTAAACTAGAAACTACTTTTGCTTCCAATAACCAGCAACGAAGCTGAAGACTGCTGGGTGGACCTCACCGCTCCCGCTTGCCGTCAGGATTAGCACGTGAGACACGACCTGCCAGTTCTACTGTCACGCACTCATACACAGCTGCAGTACGAGAACGTAAAGTCAGGTGTTCACCTTTTAAAACAATTATAAATTAAAGAGCCGCCAGGCATAGGATTATCCATACCTATAATCCCAACACTCAGGAGCTGAGGCAGCAGGACCCTGAGTTCAAGTCCAGCCTGGGCCACATGGGCGGCTCAAGACCAGTCTGAACTGTAAGAAAAGATACTGTCTAAAAAATAAGGAAGACTCTTGCTTCACCTTGTCGACTTTCCTCCTGCCCAGTCTACACAAAAGGTGCTTGTTGGGGAACTTTTCATATAATTGCAAACAAGAAAGTAGCCTTTATGCAAGTCTATTTTTATTTGTAAAAAATAATATCCAACTAAAGCTAATTTGATTTTAAAAATCAAAAGCTCATTTAGTGATAATGTACATTTTATAATAAAATTGTAGTAAAATACTGACATTTGATAGTTTAAACAAAGTATCATTCATGTAAAAATCATGTTATAACATGTAAAATTTAATTAGAAAATTCATAGTTCACAAAAGTACATATATTTCTGCTGATAGCTTGAGAACATTATTAAGTTTACTTAAGGTACCGAACAAAATTCACAGTTAGGCTTGACATTTAGGACTATATAATTTTACACTGGATTCACTGATACTTTTGTTACCAAGGGGAACTTGAAATAATTGATTTAGATTACCAGTAAAATGCAGTAACTGCATAAGACCTGCCAGTAACCAAGACCTAACAGTTTTCCAGAATGCTATTAATCAATTATTTCACCAATAATTTAAACGACTGAGATCTAGTTGAAAACACCACTGCTCTATATCCTTAATAGGATAATTAAATAAAAAGCACTAGCAGCTCTGATTTCCATTTTCATGAACAGATACAAGTATATACTTTACATTTAAAATGTGTACAAAAGTCAAGCCCTGAAGTATTTTTCACCAAGAGAAAAGTTCTAATGTTAAAACTTTGTTAAAAAAAAAAAAGAAAGAGAGGTAGTGTGTAAAAGTATTTTTACTTAAAATGTTGAACCCCTGCACCACTTATATTATAAATGAAATTTACCTTGCTACAACAAACATTATCTTGCCATTCGAGAGTCAAATCTCTAAGACTCAAAGAATGTTAAAGCTGGAATGCCATCACACAGACGAGGAAGAACTGAGTGAATCTGACAAGAAGTCCATTGTGCCACATAACGTTGTGTAGTCAGTTAACAGTTTACAGAGAATATGCTTAGTGGTAACGAGAACAAAAAACAGTGAAGTCTGCGAGTCCAGTGATCACGATTTAATTAAGACTTCACTTCTTCATATACTTTACTATGTAGAGATAACATCCTTCAAAACGGAGTCACTTAAATCTTCATTGTTGTAATAGCACACAATTGTTACGAGGGTATCCGTACTAGTCCAAACATAAAATTAATAAATAACTCTCCCTAGCCAGAGGGCACGCAAGTCTCCCCCTCCTCTGACTCTATGTACATGGTACTGCAGCGCTGATGCACTCGATACGGTGAGATCAGGCACAGGATGAGAGCAGCAGCCTTACGCCTACCTCGCCCAAAGTGGATGCACTGGAAAATAATAAATAGCCTCATAAAATTAATACGCTCCCTGTCACAGGTGAATACTACATACTGTTCATAAAGTGTAGGCAGTGTTCCTAGACATCCGTGAAGGAAAGCCCAATTTTTGTATAAAAAGTGCCCAAGTTTGTCTTGTGTGTAAAAATCTCTTCATCTGGGTGCTTTTTTAATCCAAAATGATTCATTCCACTTGAATGCATTAAAAATATAAAAACGCACACCAATAAAACACTCACTAAAAACAAACGGAATGACTTCCAACATGACTAAGACCAAGGACAGAGGCTCCCACATCACCGTGAGTCAGTGGCACTGCTTTCCACAGCATCGCTGGTGCCCACGGGGTTGGCCTGCGAGCAGGACCTAGGAAGGAGAGGATGACAAACGCCAATGTGAGCAACTGTCAGGCGTCACACTCGGGAAGGGCTTCAGTGCTGAGTAAGGTGGGGCAAGCCCCAAAACTGGCCAGCCGGCTTCATTTCTTAGAAATTGGAAGAAAAATGCATTGTGAAGACAGTTTGTTACAATTAACAACAAAGGAACGACATTTTAAAAAACACAACACAACAAAACAACACAACACACACACAGAATTGGGAGCATAAACCTCAGGTCCTCAGCATACCAACAGGGAATCAGACTTTCACGGCAGAATTTTAAAGACACAGCGAAAGGGGAAATTAACTGGGCTCTGCATAGCAGGTTAAATATGCAACCACTTCACGCCACACAATCCAGTCCTCTCACACAGTTCAGGGAATGTGCTCCAACCTCCAGTTCTCCACAGAAGAAACAGCAAAAGCACGTAATTTCATTAGCAAAGGCCCTTTCGTTTTAGACGTAAATTCACCTCTGAGCCACCAAAGTCTACAGTGACAATTATCAACCTATTATTGTAGTAACATTTTAAGCTTGCAGTATTATTTTTCTCATGCCTACCCCACATTACCGGTCAGAGGTATATAAGCGTTAAATTACTAGCCAAATTTACATGTCCCATGGCGTCCTCATGATTCAGAAAACACTGACGCAATGGCTTCATAATGTTATGATTGTCCCGTCTTCCTCTAACAGTTTTTGATCTGCAGCATGTGCTTCAAATTCTGTGTTTGTGCCACTTGCTGTGGGTGCTAAGCTCACTTCATTGGAAGGAATAAAACCATTCTGTTCAGACTCAAAACTGAGTTCTATTTGCGTTAGGGACTCCAGGCTCTCAGCATCAGGAGCAGCTTTCGGAATCTGCTGCGGCACCCCGTTGTCTTCGATAATGATGTCGTCTTCCTCGCTGTCTTCATCCTCTGGCTCAAAGCTTGGTTCAATTTGCTGCGAGCAGCTCAAAAGGCTGTTATCTGTCGACTGGCCGGAGCTGCCGGAAGTCCGACTGTTCCTAACGACGTTGTTCCTCTGGTTTGCTGGTCTCACCGTGATGATGAGGTTGCGACTGTTTGCAATCATCATGTCTGTTACTTGGTCAAGACTCTTCCCTGAAACTTCTATGCCATTAACTTCTAAGACTTCGTCATTAACAGCTAATAGTCCTGTGCTTTGAGCCAGACCTCCTGGGACGAGCCTGGAGATGAAAATCCCCGGGACCTTCTCCAAGCCGTGAGGTGTCACCCTGACACTGGAGCCATCCCGGATATAGAATCCCAGGGGTTTCTCAGTGCCGTATTTGTAGAGACGAACTCTACGATGTGTTTCTGGGAGGATATCCACATCAATGATGGAAGACACGGGTCTGAAGTCTTGTGGCATACTGATGACTATGTGAGGCTTTTTTCTATGGTTGTCAGGACGTAACACATTGGTTAAAACATTCTTCTTCTTTATTAGTGTGTCTGTACCAAAGGCACTGTAGTCAGCTTCTTCTGTTCAAAATAAAATGAAATAATTACAGAAATGCTGTGAAAATACTGTTTTACTTGCAGCTGAATTTGCACAAAAAGGATACAACTCAAATATACCTGGTACACAAACTAGCTAAATAAGAGCTTATTCTAATTAGAATGAAATGTCTAACAGTAAAAATATGCCATGCCAGAAAAAAGCACTAGGGGGCCCTCTCAAGCATAATCACAAAATTACTAACAGTTGTTAAATTTGTAACGCTCTTTCACTGTTAAACATAGCAAATAAAATTCTTATAGAATTTACAAACTCCTGTTTTTTTTTTTTGAGTCAGGGTTTTGCTGTGTTGCCAAGCTGGTCTCAAACTGCTGGGCTGAAAAGATCCTTGGCTTGAAAGACCCTCCGGTCTCCGGTGTCAGTAGCTGGGACCACAGGTACACACCACACAGGCTATCCTCATTCTTAGACATCACCTTAAACCAACTATTTTAAATGTATTTTTCCTTAATTTGTTTAACAATCCTCCAATTTGCATATTTATCACATTCAACTCAAGCTACCATGGCACAAGCCTGTAACCCCAGCTCTTTGGGGAGGCTGAGGCAAGAGGATCAGAAATCTGAGGCCAACTAGAGACTGTCTCAAAAACTAAAAAAGGCTGGAGATGTAGCTCAGTATTATGTCTAGCATTATGTGAGGTCCTGGGTTCAATCTCCAACACTAAAACAGAAAGCAGAGAGCATGCACAAAGCCAGGACACCTATGTCTCAGCCACTGGGCAGATAATGTAATTCAGTGCACACAGCAAAGACTTGGAGAGTTCAGTTTGAAAACCAACTCCTTCCCTCAGTTGCCTGGGGTGTATGTTTCTCAATATTCCATTTTTCACTTTTAAAAGAGGCAGAGATAAGGTTTTCAACCATTTTCTTCACCATATGAAGAACAACAAAGTGCAATGGCGTTTGCCTCGGCAGTGTGATTCAGACAGAGGGGTTTGTGCGGCTCACAACTGACAAACTGCAGCCTCTGCCTCATTTAGACGGCACAGCTGTCCTACCTCCTGGCAGACTGTCTTCACGACAGAAACCCTAAGTTCAAGCAAAATCTTCACATTTTAAAATGATAACCTCTAGTTAAATAACTTTAAAAAACTAATTAAATAACAAAAAAATCTACTCATCCCACATCACATATCTTTTGAACTCATTCCTAAAGCTACCAATTTAGAATCTCTGATATAGGGGCTGGAGATTTAGCTCAGCAGCATAAGCACCTGCCTTGCAAGCAGGCAGTCGTGAGTTCGATCCCTGGTACCGATACAAAGGAAAAAGACAAAAAAAAAAAAAAGAAAGAAAGAAAAAGAAAAAAAGAATCTCTGATATAAGCTATGGAAAACCAAGACACCTAGCTTCTGATACTGTTAAATCATGTGGCTGAAGAAAGACAGTCTACAAAGAGGAAAAAACATCAGAGAAAGAGGTCTATAAAAACATCAGATTAGGTAAAGAAAAGGAAATGGAATTAACAGGAACCAAAGCTAAAATCTACTTTCCACCCTAACTGGAACGCATGAGCTGGGCCTGGTGGCACACCGCTGTAACTGCAGGACTAGGGAAGCTGAGGCAAAAGAATCACTGAGTTTGAGGTGAGCCTGGGCTACATAGTGAGATCAAGGCCAACCTAGAATACATAGCAAGACTCTCAAAAACAGAACAACAAAACCCCAAAAAACCTAAGTGAAATGAGAAAAATTAAAAGTTGAATTTCTAATGATTAAAAAGGTGCTTCAGTAAGAATAAAAGATATGAGCCAACCCTGGGTATCAAGAGCTTTAAATCTCAAAATAAAAAGTGAAAATAGCGCAGGGCAAAAAAAAAAAAAAAAAAAAAAAGGAGGAGGAAAAAGAGGAAGAGGAAAAAAAGGTCAAAGGCTCTCTGGCCCACCCACAAAGAACAAGTTTAAAATCCAAGTCCCCGGCAACCAGACAGCCCCATCACCAACTGACCCTGCCTTGAGCTTCAGGTGGGTGAGGTTGCCTGTGGGTTAAGCTGTCATCACTGTCCTAGAGACCGGGGAACCGAGGAGACACAATAAGCTAGAGAAAGGACTAGAACCCAGAGCTCCTACCAGGCCAGTAAGTCCCAAGTTCACACGATGAAGGTCAGATACTGGTTGTGTGTCAGGGCATGAGAGGGTTCATATTCTTTTCTGATGCTGCATGAATTCTTTTTTATTTTTTTGTCTTTTTGAGACAGGGTCTCTCTGTGCAGTTCAGGTTGGTGTTGAATTCACTTTATAGCCCAGGCTGGTCTTGAACTCCCCTAGATCCTCCTGCCTCAGCCTCCCAAGTGCAGGGATTACAGGTATGGGCCACCACGCCCAGCTGCATGAATTAAAAACCTACTTTCTGGCAAATATGTGTAAAACAAAACGTACAATAAACTCCCAACCCATCAATATTCAAGTTGCCATTCTCCAGAAGTATACTGTAGGAGACTCACTTTGTCAGGTTAGGGTTAGGGTTATGATCAACTTATAAACAACTCCCCGGAATACATCTTGTTCATAAGTTGGGAATTTACTGCACTTTATTCATGACATTTCCCACCCTGGGGACACTATTATCTTTGTTTATATTTACAGTGTGTTCTTACTGAAACAGAAATTTATTTATAATTTGGCTTTGAAAATAATTCCACTGACAGAAGAGTCTGGTAAAATTTGGCCAAAGATCTACTTAATTTTCTGCGTTAAAGTACTTTCTCACACGTTTATGTTTGTATTTTTATTTTTCCATAATGAAAGCCTACAAAGTATTTATAAGGGAAATTCCAGACCATACAAACTGAGAACAAAATCAAGTTGCCTACATACCGGCTCATGGGAAACCTGACCAAAAAACCCCAAATCTGCATAATTTGGCATCGCATCCAGACTCCATTTGAATGCTCTCCGCTAAGTTCTCAAAAGCAATATGCCCCAGCACAAAGGCACCTTTGTTCTCCCATCTAGCTAATCAGTTTCCAGCCACTGGGAAAAGAAATATTTTGGCAGACAGCCAGAGTGCAGGGTGTTGGTGTAAAGTGTAAAGGTGAATGTCCACAAGGAATTGCAGCTGACTTTCTACCGAGGGTGCACATCACAGCACTCAACTCAGAGGGTGACATCAGTTTACAAGCTTGACTCACAGCAACTGTCCACCGGGTTTATGCAACAGCCATGCTACAGGCCCAAAGAGCAGCGCCTCGCTTCTCCGGAGCCTGACCTTCAGCCAGCAATCTCAGTCCTGTAACCAAGGAGGACCTATCTCAGAGCCTTCGGAGTGGCCACGCTCCTTGTCTTCCGCACACACACAGGCTCTTGTGATGCTCTTACAGAGGAACCTGCGCGCCTCTGTCCACACCTCTTACTCTACACTTGAGTTCTGAAAAGCCTGGTTACTCATTCCTCAGCTCACAGAGGGTCCTAAGCGTGCATTCAGAATGGGAAGGAAGGGTCCGCTCGTCAGCAGCAGGCACAGACGTCACCAAAGACTACAGTGAATAAAAAGCAAGTCTGAAAAAACAAAATGTTCCCATAAATCCTAGCAGCACCCCCATATGGTAACAATACAGTACAAATTCCTGGTGGAGCCATCAAGAAACCTCAAGATTGGGAGGCACCTGACCTCACGGGAAGCTGCAAAGAACCGAGCGACTGTGTAAGGTGCTCTAACCCAGCACTGACAGCTGCTCCTGTCAGGTCACAGGGGCCTGTTTTAGGGACGGCAGCCCCTTCCGCTCGCACAGAAGTAGGCACAGGTGACACACACTGGTGTAAGTGTGGGTGTGTTCCAAGAAAACTTTACTCACAAAAGCATCTGGGCCTTAGTTTGCCAACTCTGTTCTAATCCAAATGGTTAAATGAAACAGCTCTGGCCTCGTTAACAGGATTAAACATCACTTTAAGCAACATTCAGATTTTGTTGATCTTTTCACTTCCCGATACAGAAAACTCAACCACCAAATATTTAATGAACTCCTACGCGCCAGGTATCGTGCTGTGTGGTGCGGATTTAAGAGACAAACAGCAGCCCGCTTTCACCTAACAGAGGAGACGGCAACTAGCAGACAACGCCAAGTGATGAGGTGGAGATGAAGGTGCCCAGGCTGAAGGTAGGTGGGAGGGGGCCCGGCCCCGCCTGGCGTGCCGGCTGAGGCGAGACTGCTGCAGAAGTGAGGGTTCGGGGAGCCTGATGAAGCAGCATCGGCAGCTAACCAGGAGGGCCCTGATGGCACAGGCACAGGCGCAGAGGAGGATGCAGGCTGACTGCAGGGGACGAAGGAGCCAGAGCCAATCAGGCAAACAGGGCCTCGGGGAGGTGCTGAGGCTGCTGGACTTTAGCCTCAGGGCCAGGAGAAAACCTAGGCTTTCAGGGAGAAAAATAGTAATCTCATCTGGGTTTTCCAATCTCACCGTGACTGCAAGCCAGGAGAGCGGCTGGAGGACAGAGCAGACGGCTACTGCAGTGCACATGAGGTGGCCTGTGCTGCAGCCAACTCACAAATGTAAAGCAAATTACAATGCAGTTTTAATGGGTTTGCTGACTGAAAAATAAGGATGTGTTAAGGGTGACACCTGGGTCTCTGCCAGGAGCGAAGGTGTCATATTCTCAAGTGTGATTCCACAATGTTTCATTATTTCTAGGGCTGTACTTTTGTTAAATTGTATTTTGTAATTTGTAATTTTTGTAATTTACTGTTAAAATGTAATCCCTTGGAGGTTTTAAAATTAAAACCACGCTAGCTGGGTACAGGTGTATACCTGTAATCTCAGCTACCCAGGAGGCTGAAGCAGGAGGACCTTAAATTCCAGCCCAGTGTGGGATACAGAGTTCAGGGACAGCCTGGACTACATATCAAGAACCTGTTAATAATAAATAACCTTAAAATACATTTACCAGGCCAGGCATGGTGGCTCACGCCTGTAATCCTACCACTCGGGAGGCTGAGATGGGAGGATCATTGTGAATTTGAGACCA